GTCACATTAGCACAACACAGGCTCCTTTGATAACCTTCAAAACCCACATTCAACAGTGTAACTGTACCCTTTTGAGTGTGTTATTACCAGTCATCACAACACATTTTGAAACTTTTTCATACATTGAAAACAAATCCCGATTGGATGACATGAAAAGTGAAAGCTATATAAAAAATCTAAGCCTCAACATATTTGGAGTTATAATCAAACATAAATAGAAACTCTCCATCACTGCTAGGATTTTCTATAATACTTGTTTCTCCTGAAATTTTTGATTGTTGATTTGCAGTTAATTTTTATTTATTTTGCAACTTATAACAATCGTTTATCACCTTTTTTTCTTGTAATAATTACAAAATTTGGAGTTAGATTTTGACTTGTCCCTCGAACGACCACCATGATCCCCAGATGCTATAAGATGCTTCATCTTCTTCTTTGAATATGGAGCATTGTAGACTTTTTCGATGGTGAGAGTATTACGACTATATAGAATCGTGTTTCTAAAAGACATGTATGAGACCGGAAATGAACACAACAAAATCAATCCCAAGTCGTCTTCATCATATTTGACCTCCAATGTCTCCAAATTAGGGACGATTTCTTTAAAAGTAGCTAGATAATCCTCAATAGATGTACATTCCGTTATATGATGAGAATATAGACGTTGTTTCAGATGCAATTTGCTAATAAAACTCTTTGTCATGCATAATTACTCCAATTTTTACCATAATGCAGCAACTAACTTCTCATTTAAAACGTCTTGAAAAATATTATTTGAAAGATGAAAATGTATTTGAGATGGGGTCTTTCGATCCCTCCGTTGTTTCTCCTCCATAGTCCAAGTTATGGACATCTTGTCAAATTTCAACAATGCGTAGTCCAAATTCATCTGAGCGAATACTGCTCGCATCTTTACCTGCCATAAAGAGAATCTTGTATTGCAATTCAATAGAGAAATATCACACTTCATTGTTGCTATCATGAAAAACTTCAATCTTCACAAGAATTTCAATACCAAAAATCTCTGATATCAATCGTTATGGACTGAATGCCCTAATACCAGTTTGTTATGAGAAAATAAGAGATTAAGTCACAATATAAAGTAATTGATTATAAGAACACAAGAACAATGTAATTTTGTAGAGAATGAAAATTTATTACATGGAAAAAGAATACATAGATTATGTATTTACAATGTTTTTAACTTCTTATGGGGAAAAACCAACATAACTAAATTGTAGAGAAGAGTTAAGTATATAACAAATAGGGAACATCCAAACCATTATAGACTTAGTAGAGTTGTAGCTGAAGTAGAATTTCAAAAACGAAGTAGAGGAGAAAAAAATCGCGCAAGATAGAAAACAGAACAGGTGGCGATAAGGTGCCCACGTTCAAATCCTTTACTCCAAAATCTTGATTTTTTCATCCTAATGTCTTTTTCAAGTCAAACACAAATTTTTACTCCCAATGAGCTTTTAAGTAGAACTTCAATTAGAATTCACATAATAAAATTGAATAGAATTTCATAATAGTATTTCAAATAGAATTCTTTTTAATGTGCACTCTAACTAAAGCTTTCAATTATTTTCAACACAAAAGTTGGGTCACTTTCAAATTCTATCGGTGATTGTAATGAAATCAGAATTACACTGAAAATGAAATTGACAGAGTAGCCATTTTAGGAAACATAACATGTTCAAGCGAAAGAGAGACTTGGCCACCTGTACTCACAATTAAGGAACCAAGATGAATTGAACAGATTCAAGCCCATTAAGACAATTAAATTAGAATTTTAGACAATGCTAAGATTGAAGAAACCTGTAGCATCTTTAACTTTTAATATTTCACGTTTTGGACCATCATGAAAGTATATGTATATTGTCCTTTCAGAATAAAAATTAGATCCTTTTATAGGGTGTGATAGGGTAGCAATGAATGATTTACTCTTTTAAATAGAAATAAAATAATACGCATTTTTTTAATAAAATAATCACAATATCATCGATAAATATCGTTAAACACAACAGGAGCAATAAAACGTGGCTACAAAATCATTAGATGTCGGGTCATGGACCACTCTATTTCTCTCACGAGTTATTGACATCCCTAAGAAGCTTTGAAATATTGCGAAGAAACACCCCATTCAGTGCAAACTCAAAGTGCGCTTGTAGTTGTTGCTTTACCATAACAAGAGAATCATATTCAGTAGGTTGCTTCAGAAAATTTGTTCCATTTAGCATACAGGAGGCCCTCTCGAGCCGTGAAGGTAGAACCCGCGACATCTAGACATAACTGCCACTCTCCCCTCGTGATACTTTATGATCGATCCAACTCCCAGTCTCCCACAAAGCCATCCCCCTCCCCCTACCCACCCACCCACACACACACACCAGAATCAGTATACATGTTTAACATTTCACAAAAATTTAAAATTCTAGTTATAATGATCCAAGTACTATATTAGTCGAATTGATGATTTGCTCCCCAAAGGTCACCAATTCGAGTTCCCTTAGGGTCATTGAGGTGAATACCTGACCGTAAACTTCAGGACCTTATGGAATTAGTCGAGGTGCACGCAAGTTGACCCGAACGCCCACAGTTATAAAAAAAATATTAGTCGAATTGGTAATAATAATCATAATTATCATATGTTTAATTATTTATTACAACAATAATTGCCAAGTACAATTGAAGGGCGTATCAATGAAAAAGTGGAAGAATCCATCTGATCTTCCAATATCAATAGGTTAGGTTGATTATTTTTCTCCATTATCTTTCCGCCCCGCCACCCCTCCCCAAAAAAAAAAAAACGATCTCTAAGAACTTATATCATGAATCCGAAACACCGAAAGAGTATACTTAAATTCTCCCATTAATTAAAAAGTATAACATACTTGAATCTAACTTGGATTCACGATGGTTGAGAAAGTGGATAAAAAAAAAAAACGGAATTTTAGTTGTAATATATCTAATAAAACCATCGTTCGCTTATTCAAAGAGAGAGAGAGAGAGATCAAATATGTGGAGTACTCATAATAATTATCAATTATTTAATACATTATATAACAAATCATTCATCTTTTTAATTGATAATCAATTAAGCCCTTGCTTGATAGCCATTATAAAGAGAAATTGGGGAAAGATGATGATGTGAATAATGATTTTTTTGAAAAATGTGTTAAAAATAAGAAAAAAAAATTATAAATTTATGTGTAAAGTATTTTATTGTATGAATGTATAATTGAAAATGAGTATGCTAAATAAAAAAATATTTTTTTTAATGGAAGTCAAACAAGGGTTAAATCTCCGACAAATTAATAATAAATAGTTTCAAAAGAATTGTTACAATCGTGATAATTATTAAAATAAAATTGAAAGCTAATAACATTGTATGTAAATTTTAGCCATATAATCACATAATTTAATTGTAAATATAATATGATATTCACTTAATTCTAGCTTGTTAACAAAAAAGTACATCCTCTTGTTAACAAAAAAGTACATCCTCAATGTTTGCACTCAAATCTAGTGATAGCAATTTTCCCCGCGCGTCCCCTCCGAGAGGTGGGGCGGGGAACAGGCGTGCCCCGCTGCCATCACTACTCAAATCATCCATATCGTTTCAAATTTGGCAATTGCACCCTTATTTCAACATTTTCTTGCGAAATTGTTCATTTTTGTCTCATTTCGTCAAATATATATAATTTGTGCAAAACGTCCCTAGGAACAAAAAAATTTTACCATCCATTTTCTCAATTAAAGAATTTTAAAATAATTAATATACCCTTCTCTTTTAATAAACATTTAAAAAAGAAAGAGATAATATAAAAAATAAATAATTGCAGCTAAAGTTCCAAATTTTTTAAAGAATACAAATGATCCTCATATTCATCTTCCCATTTGAACCAGCCTACCCATACCCCAATCCTCTACCCTCCATCACTACAAAAGTAATTAAAAGGAAAATTGAAAGTATAAAAAAAAAAAAAGTAAGAAATGATTAAAAAATAAAATAAATTAGTTCTTATCCAATTTCACACCCTGCCTCCACCACCACCCATTCTCCCCATACCACTGAGGCGCCTATTAAGAATTTAGTTATTTTCATATAATCAAGTTTCGTATTTCAACACATTTCTATTTTCAGTTTCAATGATTTAGCCCTTTTCTTTTACATTACAAAATGATATTTGAAAATGGATATTGTTTTTCTTCTATTATACAGTTCATACAAAATATTAATCCAAACCACAATATAATATATATATATATATACACACACACATTTTGGAAGATGATTTTTTTTTTTTTTTGTTAAAATGTTTTAAATTATTTTAAGTGAAACTCGTTTTTATTATTTGAAATATTTAGGACTTTGATTGCAATTATTTATTTTTCATGTTATTTCTTTCTTTTCTATTTGTTTATTTAAAGAGGGCAAATTAATTATTTTAAAATAATTTAATGAAAAAATAAAAGTTTAGGACATTTTACGTAATGAAAGCAAACGATATGAGCGTTTTGAACCAATTATCCATATTTGAAGAAAGGAATTGACAGAATGAGACGGACAAGACCAACTCAAGAAAAGGTTGAAATGAAAGTGTAAATGCCAAATTCGAAACGATGGGACGATTTGCACAATAAGTACAAGCGATGAGAACATGTTGAGCTAATTACCCTTTAATAGTAGAAATAAGGCACAGAGAATAGAGGGGCGGAAGGATGATAGAGACACTCGAGAAAGAGAGAAGAAACAAAAAGATTTGTTCAAACATTGTTATGGGCGAACAAACATCCCAGATAAAAAAATCCAAGTGATTTAGATCATCAAGCATCATGAAATAAATAATAATCATCTGTTTCCTGGTCCACAGACTTAGAGCAGGATCACAGTTCTTTTTATTGAGAATAAGAAAATCAGTCAGAAATAGAGATTCGCCGTCTCCCTGTAAATAATCGTTTAGCCAAGGATATCCCAAACCTGTACCAGCAGAGGATCATGGAATTGTGCGCTGATAGAGGGGCAAAGCGCCCAAAGCCTCACGTTCAGCTCGTTCTTTCTTTACCTGCATAAATATTAAACACAAAGATAAACTCGTACTTCAAACATACGTATTTATCGGAAAAGGAAGTTCACAGAAACATTCCATGTACAGTATTCTCTGCCACAATTTTGGAGAATTTCATGAAAATAAACCCAAATCACTTGCACTAATCTTTACCAACACCATGTTCCAAAATAAAAGACATCACAAAGGCAAAGCAATTCATTATTTCTTGCACTCCGAATATAAAGATCAAGATACTGGGAGATAAAGACATCAAGAACGATCAAGGAAAGATTTGACACTTCGTGCTTGTTTGTATTTCATTAAAATCTCCTTACATTTTGAAGTCAAAATCAAAACATTAATTTACACATACATTTACAACTATTATCCACATATTATCCAACACCTTTCGTAGGACACATTACTCCTTGTCATTATAAATTCTAATGAAACCCAAACAAGCACTTAGTCATAACTAAATGATAAACTTTTGAATGCATCAGCCGCCAAGACAACCCTTTTCACTAAAGCACAACCTTTACTGTTTGACGGTTGATATTATAAACCGATGTTAACAAGAAAAACACTAGTTCAAAGATAACAATGAAAAAATTTCTTCTTTATCAGTGCAATAAACAGAGGAAGTAGAAATCCGTAGGCCAGTTAAGAAAACGCATAGAAGGAGATCTATTGGCCTAAGCCAAACTCATAAATGCATATGAAAATTTCCAAAAATTGGTAGTAAATAACTGGTAGAAATCAAAATGATTGCTCGTATAGAGCAGTCGATGCATATAAAATCCAAACAAAGATTAAGAAATAATTTGTCCACGTTTACTACAACAACATAAGATACAGGTACTTACAAGAGCTAACATTTCCTGAAGATAGCTTCTAAATGGTGTCTGCATAGCCTGTGAGAGAAAATAGGTGAAATACATTAATTGCCATAAGCCCATAACAAAAGACTTGCTATTCAATATATCCAAAGCCATAGACTAGACAATCAAGTATCAAACTGGGAAGATGTGGCAACCAGATTATTATAAGTATACGATGAACTCCGGATGATTGTGTAATACCAGAATAGTATGGAATATATCGAAAAGTGGTGCTCCAAGACAGGAGGGGTCCGGTGAGCACAAACTTGATTAGTACAAATTTCACATTAAAATCTAACAACAGATTAAGTTATCATGTGACCCCAGTACCCCCATCCCTCGCTTTGACGAAGCCAGATCGTCCAATTGTATTAATTTGTCCACCACTCCGTAGGCAAATATTTATTTAAAAATAAAAATGAATTTTCTTTTCAAGAATTGCTTAGTTAAATAAGATAAAGCGACCAGAAGAAGAGTCAAGCTCTCACCCTTCAATTTAGAAAAAATGCTAAAGTCATCGGTTCAAATCCGATTAAAGGGCTTTTTCGCAGGGTGCTTCAAACACCATTTTTTTTGGTATGCCGCTCGAGCAGAGTGAATGAACAATAAATAGAGATACGATAGACCCACGAATGATTTCAGACTTTATCACACCTATTTCGGAGGATGATCAATAGACTTGGGAAGTCACCTTCTTCTTTCTCATGCTATTCTATTACAATGTCAACTAATGCCTATTGCCTTACGAGAGGTCGCCTAGGAAAAAAGAGAGAAGCAAGGACTGGAGACCTATTATAAAATTCAGTGCATGAACCTATCAAGAAAACGGAATCCGATCCTCTCCTTTTAGTCGGAGTGGCTTCTCGCTCCTTATGTAATCACAAGAAAGAGAAACATAGAGACAAGAAAATCAATCAAGCGATTATTGACTTTGAGCATATGATGATGGAGATTAACGGGTTGCTGAAAATATGCACTTATTTTATGCATAAAAATAAATTATAATTTATAATTTATTTTCTTGACGTACTTATTTATAAATATTCATTTTGCCAGGAGACTAGTCATTTTTCGAAAGGATTTTAAACCACGTTGATACCACTAAAAAATATAATTAAAATCTAAATCAAAGTCAACAATTAATTATAACCATGCATCTCATACGACCCACAACTTTTCAGCCACACGTTCCATTAGCTTTTATCAAAATCTACTAAAAATCTGATTTTAATCTCTATCAATTATGGGCTAATTATGAATAGGTCCAGTACTTCTTCTGAACCACATGTACATTGATTTGATATATTAAGTAATGTTGAAGTTCATCTCTGCATTTTATCCCAATTCACCTATCCTTTTCTCTCTCTCTCATTTTTCTTTCCCTTCTACTTCACGACTTCTCCAAAATGGTTTGCAAAAGTACGGATAGTAAACTGCAGCAGATACCTGTTTCAAATTAAAATTTATTTCAAACTAGGGAGCATGTTGTAAAATGTCTATACGGAAAGACATAAAACCAAGGAGATATTCCTGTATGATTTTAGATAAGTAACACCAATTACCTTAATGTGACTCCCATTTCATCTTCCTCACTATCCAAATTTCTCACTAGATTTGACAATGTAATTGATTTTACAGATGATCATTACAGATCACATTGTTCTATTCGAAACCAAAATTAAATTTCTTTTAACACAAACAATTGGATTAGTACAATATTTCAGAAATTCAGTAAAAATGTAATTAAAATTTTAAGTGTCAATTATAGAGCTAAATTTTGCAGACATAAAGGACTTCTAAAAAAGCCACACATTAGCGACAAAACATTATTCTAGTTGTAAACTGACAGAGGCATTAATGAGTGAAGCACGAGGTAATCCCTATATTTGGTCCATTTTTTTGAACCACAAATTTGTACCAGATGGACTATAAAGCTGCTAAATGTGTTAGAAATAGATGTTAAGAATTTTCTTCCAAGCAATTTACTCATTGGCAAATTGCATCATCTGCATCTGAAGCTATTTAACTTTCTGATCCAAGCTTGTGAATAGAGTGCGCTAAGCATGACACGGGTGGAACATGATAAATCCAACTCCATAAAAGTCATCTATTCATCTAAGCAAAGGCCAACCAAACTGAGAAAGGGAATAGTTTCTCTAAAACCAGGTGTAATTATATTTCCAATTGAGGATGGCAATGCATAGTATTCTCCACCAGTAACTTTCCTCAAATTACTCCTTCCAAAATGACTGCTACAAGACTATGGTCTCGTTCTTGATGTCACTAAACCAGCCAACAAGATGCAAAAAATGCAAAATACAATCGTGTGTACTTAAACAACACAAAGCCTCTGACCCACATCTTTTCAACCCTACATTCAATTATTTTTTTTTATCAAAATTTACTAAAAATCTTATTTTAATCCCAAGCATAAAATTATTTCTCCAAAGATATGCTCAGAACAAGAAAACATACAATTGAAATACAGAGAGGCGCTATTTTCCCTTCTGAATGTGAAAAGCATGGTGCATTTAATAAATTTCAATAATTTCCCAATCACTTAGGTTGAATTAAAAAGATAGAAACTTGTAATAGGGCATAAAAAATATTTAACATTGTTTGAATCTCGATTAAATTACTGCAAACACTTCTAGCTCATGAATATCCAATTACTATATAACGCACAAGTTAATCACGGTCTAATTACAAAATAGTTACTCATGCTTCCAAACTACAAGAATTTTTGAATCTCGATTATTTACTGCAAACATTTCTTGCTCATGAATATCCAATTACTATATAACGCACAAGCTAATCACGGTCTAATTACAAAATAGTTACTCATGCTTCCAAACTACAAGAATTGACACAAATCAGCTTTCACATGCAAGGAAAATTTCATCATCGCCTTACTTTTAGAAGATATAACACAAAATTAAAACAAAATAGTAACATGTTGGAGGAAGGCTACTAACAAACGAATGTGCATAAATACAATATTGTGTATAGCATTTTAATGCCGTAAAGCCCAAAACTACAGCAAGTAAAATATAAATACATCAGCATTTATTTGTAAAATAGAAGAATCTTCTTTTAATTACCCACATTTCAATATTATACACCTATGGAACTCTATACAACTAAAAATCAAAAGTTCAAAATCAGTCACAGTGCCCCGGAAACTAAAAAGGACTCACATAGATTAGAGACACACGACAACGAGGGTGTTGACATAGATTGGGAAAAAAAACACACTTTTCGGCACTAAGACTCGTGAATTCGATGTTGATAAAAAAGCCCCCAAAAGCTGGCATTTTTGGTTTCTAAGCTAGTCCAAACATGATCAATTAGCCAAAAAAATTCACAAACCGTCTCAGAACAAAAAAACAAATCCACATAACTACACATACAACTCTATACATATGTACATCCTTGTATATCCCATACCTGGAGGTCTTCGGGGAGGTAATCGTGCTTCATGGAGAGATCCATAGCGCGCTTGAGGCGCTGATTCCTCGCATCCACGATCTCTCTCGGGAGCCGATTCAGCGCCTCCTTAACGTCCAATTCGTATTTTGGGTCATATAAATCATCGTATCGAAGCCCTTTCAAGCGTATTAACAACAATAATATTACAGTCAAAGATCCAAACCTAAACGAACAATCAAAATAAATAGACCAAAAAAAATACACATTTAACTAATACTATAAATATGCACATATAGATACCGTATTTGCGAAGGCGGCTGGAGACAGTCTTTTTGTGGATGGCGGCGAGAGGGTTCTTCTTTGGGTCGACCAGCCACCGAGAAAGCGATGATGCCATTGGTCTCTCTCTCTCTCTCTACTATCGATTTGGTTGTATAGAAATCTTGCTCAATGGCAACGTTTTGCGGATTCGCAGATTAAAATTAGATCTGGTCAAATGCGCGTTTAGTTAAAATCAGATCTGGTGAAATGCGAGTTTAGTTGTAAATGAAAATGTACGAAGTGCATTTTCGGACCTTTTATTTCCCTTGTAAATCTGGGCGGGCCTCTCAGGCCCAACATGGCCTTTTTTTGTTATAGAAGTTAAAATTGTAAAACGGACCGTTAACCAGTGTTTAAGAGAGGTGGTAATTATATAAAGGGAAAATTACATCAAACCAGGGATTTTGTTTCACATTTTTAAAAATCAGGCTTTAGGTTTAGTTTTGCAAATATCAGGTAGTATATTAAAATCTTAATTCTTAACCTAATTTATCAATTCAATCCTCTCCATTCTCGCGTCCATATTCTCCTCTCTCTCTACAGTCTACATTCCGGTCCTTCCCCCTTTCCGCCGCCGGAGATTCCAGCTGCGTCATCACCGGAGATTACAGCAGCATTGTCCCGACTACTGTGCTGTCATTGTTGTGCCGTATGTCCTCTCTCTGTTCACGGAAGTACATCTTCGATCTCATTTCTGTATTGTTCTGGAAAACCCAACGGCGATGACGTGTGGTTGATGGTGGTACCAAGCAACGGCGGCGGCTGCTGGGCGGTGCATTGCGTACGGCTGAGCTCTGAACTCTGTGGAGAG